ACAAGGAATACATAATGCTTTGTTGTTTAGTTCCAGCACTCTCTTTTGGACCCCTTGCTTTTTTCCCTGCATATTACTCCCGTTATCATATGACTGGCCCCGACAGTTGGAAAGGTCCAAACCAAGTGTTTCTAAGTGTCCTAAAAATGACTCACATAAGCCTTTGTCAGTTGTGTCATGTGCCTGAAGGAATCCAACAAAATGTTCATGAATGGAGATACCTTTTGAGGCCTCACAATTTACAATCCTTAGAACAACAGACAGCTGCTCATTTTGACTAAGGTCTGGGGTGCAGTCCATAATTACTGCATAGTATTTGACTTTCTTAACTCTTTGGACAATTGCATCAGTTGTACTTTTTGCTGCAAGGGAGATAAGTTCAATTTGAATGTCTTTGCTAAAATAAGTGTCACTGACCTCTTTAGCCTGAATTTTTCTCAAATGTTCACGCATAACAGGGTCGAACTGAGCCATCAATTCCACTTGACCAAGAAAATTCCCATTGCCAGCCTCAAATAACTTCTCTGAGTGTCCACGAAATGCAAAACAACGTTCTGCTAGATGGTACACAACTGCAATTATTCTTCGTAGAATCTCTTTCCAGCGGTTTACCTCTAGAGCAATTCTATCCTGGTTCAGCTGATCTATAGCTGTGCATGTTTTTAGTCTGTGTGATAGAGTGTGCCAGCCCAGCTCTCCATGTTTGTGATATGTTCAGGGGACCGCTCGTGGTGTTTCAAGTGGCCTGCAAGATTTTTCCAAGCATTATATCCTTCCCCACTAAGAGCATTTTTTTGTCTGTCTCCAAACAAACAGCAACAAAAGCAGAGAACACAATCATTTTTTTCACTGTACACAAGCCAGGATCTGGTTATCTCTTCTCCATTCTTCAATTGTATGTAGTAGTGACTATTAGTAAATCTGCTCCCCTCTTTATTCTTAGGAAATATTCTGTTCCTCACCTGAACTGGTCCTTTCAGCACCAATGAGCAGCGCTCCTTATCTGTAAGCTCCTTGGGCCATAATGCTGGGTCATCTTCAAGTATAACACATTCATTAGGAGGGCTGGAGGAACCAGCGTGTTGTGATCCTCTATATATGTGTGCATTAGCTCGCTCTATCAGCATAGCTTGAACAACCAGCAATAGGCTCCTGCACTACACTAACACCATTGACACTGTCACTTAATACAACAGAGGATATTTGCTTCTCTGTTTCAGCATTTCCACAAGAAGATACAGGCTCTGAGAGTGGCGTAGCAGCTGCATCACTTGTTGCTGCTGATTGTGGTAACATTTGCTCATCAACAGAAGTAGTGTTGCTAGTGACAGCAGTGTCGTCTTGCCCGTCTTTGTTGCTGTCACCATTATTAGGGTTGTTAGTACCTGTCTGCTGCACTGGTGTAAAAAATGCTGTTACCTTTGTCAAGGACTCTATCAATTGTCTGTTCTCCTCCCGTTTTTTCCATTTTTCTGCACCACTTGGGTAACTCCGTTTCATGGTTGTAGTAGTACGTCTCCCGCTCCTTAATCAAACTGCAGTGAATAACCTTCCGCTTTCGTCACACGGAATGTACCATTGCAGTGTGTGTTGGGGGCGGCGGGGGGGTGACTAATACTCTTCAGCAACTGGCGTGGCGTAATGGCATTCTAATGCTGTTTTAGCAAGTGGATTTTTAATAATTTCAGACGTTAGTTGTAAGTGCTTGCTAAAAATACTTACTGTAGTACGACTTAAGTCATGGGGCACTGGCAGTTCGGGGCTCTAGGCGCTCGCCTGCTTTTGCCTAATGGTAGCTCCGCCTCTGATCTTATCTTCTTTCCATCTATCCATCCGTCCATCCATCCACTGAACTGTTCTACCCTCCTTTAACTTTCATGTGTTCTGTCCCCCCCATACTTACAAAAAAGGAAGTTGCAACATCTTTAGCATTGCAGTTTCTCTCTCCAACGCCAGTATTTCCCAGTTTTGTCTGCCTTCCTGTTCAGTTCTCAAGGTAAGACAGAGAATATTTTACCAAAATGATATCAGTTACTTTAGTAGGAGTTCACGATTTTTAATTGCAGGACTAGAAGTGTGACATGTTGAAGACCCAAGTAAAAATTATGTATTTTTAAATATATTTTTTAAATCAGTATAATCAGCCACATAAGAATGTTGGTATGTCTTTGCGTGGCTGTCTCAGTGTTCCTCTGTGAGCTGTTTTGTGTAGTAAATCTTACTTACACAGTACTTAGTTACATTAGTTACTGAATAGACCAATGTGATAATAGTAATAAACACAGGGCTTGTTTTCTGCGTGATCTACGTGTTACACATACTTCCTGCTCCTGTAGAACTTACAGGAACTATCTGACCAGCCTCAGCACAGAGTACAAAATGGAAACTTACCATATATTTTAAGAGCTCTATAATAGAAAAAAAATAAATTTAAATTAAAAATTTAATTTTGCATCATATGTTAATAATTTCCCTAAAACAACATAGGGCCTCAAAAGTTTCACTTCTACGTTTAAAAAAAAAAAATTAAATGCAATAGTGTCAGTATCAGATTCCAGTGTGAACTGGTGACAGTCCTGCAGTGACCCACATGTGCAGCAGAACAATAACAGACAGCATGATTTTAGTGTAGCAGTAG